CGGTTTTGGCCCCGCTTTTCACACAATTTAGCCCCCTCTCTCTCTCTCTCTCTCTCTCTCTCTCTCTCTCTCTCTCTTGTTATGGTTTTTTTATATGTGTTTTAACGTGCCGCCAGCCGGTCTCACAAACCACCCCCATTTCAAAGAGCCCACAGACTCTCCCAGTGCAAAATAGAGTTGGATCTCAAAATGCGCCGTTCAAGCTTCTAGAAGCGTTTTGGATTTTGGAGACCCCTCTAAAATGCACTTTTCTAGAAACCAGGCAAAACGGCTGTGGATGCATTTCGTGCTACGTCGGAAAACTGCAGACTGCAGACTGGATGCAGCAGACGTTGTCCAGCCGAAAGAGCATCGAGGGACTGGCAAGTGAGAGCGTCAAACGAGCGCAGTAGCTGTCAAAAGAGCATCAGGCTTGACGATGAGCAGTAGGCGAGTCGTGAAGGCACCACTAAGGCACCACTCAGACTCGAATGAACACCACGGGAGCTGCGAATAAGCATGACACAAGGGTGTGTGTGGATGAGCATTGCGATAGCTGCGAATGAGCATCATTCAGACGGCAGATGAGCATCGGCAGATGAGCAGGATGTGAGCATCGTGAAGGCTTGGCATCTCTCGACACATTTCTCGTTCCCACGCCCGTGCGGAAGCACCATTTGCGGAAGTCAGGGTCTAGAATTTGCAACGTGTTGGCACAACAGCTGGCTCCAAAGCTTCCGACTAACATGACTTGGAACCGCGAGCGCGAGCACACAAGGTATCGTTGGCATAGAAGCGGCGCGTAGATCCGCCGAAAGCTCTTGGCTGATCCTGGACACCATGCTGGCACTCCGGCACTTTGCTTTGTTCCCGGTGGCATGCGCTGCTTGTGCACAGCAAACCGACAAGCTTCAAAACCGGTAAAACAACAAAGGGCTCTGGCGCAAACATGCCCTGCCTCTTTTTGCAGGTTGCTACCTCAGGTGGGCATGGAAGCAAGCCTGCTCGCATGCTCTTGCCGAAATCGCAGCCCACTGAAAGCGTCTCCTTTTCCAAACTTGCGGCTGGCCGTCACACCATGTCAAGCCATGCGGCAGGTGACGCACTTTGCAGCGAAGGTCCTAGGAACTCGTTTATCCGCTCAGATGAGGGCTGATACCAGCCATGGCTAGTTCGCTCCTGACCTGCCTGGCCTCGCATCCATAGTGCCTTACCTTCCACCGCCGGGGCTTCTGTGTCAACTGCATGCCGTCCTTCCTTCTGCTGCGACGCCATCACGACTTTCCGGCTTCCATCCACTTCGGTTCTCAGCGCAAAAAGGTCCACTTTTTGGAAGCATGCATGACTTGGCATCACCAGCTGCAATGAAGGGCGGTGCTCAGGTTTCGGAAGAGAAATGGCTTCTGTTGCAGACTGCATGTCCCTTGCATCGAATCGAGCATCCTTAAGCTCGATCAACTTAACAGAGTCGTCCCCGCCAACTGCAAATTCGTGCAAATGTCCTTGCTGGGCCCACAAGTACCTCAGACCAAATGCCACAGCCACCGTCATTTCCCAACCTTTTCCGGCTCCAGCGGTTGCCTGCTGCAAGCCCTGGAGCCACTCCCCAAGTTTCTCGTAAGGAGGACCACACCTCGACAAGAATGCTGCCATGTAACATGGCAGCCACTTCACAACCCCTCCGTCGCCAATATCTGTTAATGCCATATACTCTTCCAAGTCTGGATGCCTCTTTCCACGGAGGACTTCTTGCAAGAAAGCGCCGATTAGCGCTTTGGGCTTCTTTCTGGCGCGTTCAATGATGGTGTCAACCGCATTGCTCCACACCGTGCGTTCAGAACTGATAGCGCACCATACCATTGACGGAATCCTTCCAAAGAAGGTTGCAAGCGTCGGAGTTAAGCCCTGGCACGTGTCGTGCATGCTGATAAGCTCCTCCATCGTGCGTGCGAGTGACAATTGGATCAGTTGCACTGGTCGGCTAGACGGACTCTCCATGTAAGCACATAGATTTCTCTGGGTGGCTTGGATATGCGATGTGAACACGAGGTATTGCCCCTTCCCCTTCAAAAAGTGATTCTTCAGGAAGTTGGCGACCCTTCCGTCGGCCTCTGAGTCCTCACCTGTCAGTAACAAGTTGAGCTCATCAATGAGCAAGACATAGCTTTCCTGTTTCGCAAAAAACTGGGCAAGGTTGTCTTCAGAGCATGACATAGATCCGTTCGCCAGTTGTTCCTTGAGCTTCGCGTGCGCAATTGCATGTGCTACAGTCCGGCACAGCCAGTCCATGCTGCTTTCTTGCTTTTGCCGGAGCACGCGAGTGGAGCCGTTGAAGGTCACCCAAATTGGAATGGGGAGCTCACGATCTGACTGATCTTGCTTTAGGCGTTGGAAAAGTCGGATTAGGAAGGTAGTTTTCCCCCCCCTCGCACAGCGGATGGCACAGGCGGGTGGAATGCGATTAGTGGAGTCCTCTTCCCAAGTCCACTTCTTGATGCACTCCAAGCATGCTTTGATGGGTCGCTCCAGATCAACCAAATTGTGTTGTGGTGTTTCATCAACCTGCTGGGCAGAACACAGAGGACCGAGCTCGTCAGTCTCAACCATCCGAACCTTGCAGGGCAGAAACGCCCAGCCTTGTGTTTTCAAGGTCTATGATGGTACTAGAAAGCTCGAGGTGACCTTGCATGTGTACATAATGGTTGAAATTTCAAGTTGAAATTCTGGATCTTGGCACACGAACGTGTTGTAGCACAGTACCAAATGACTAATTCGCACGCAAGGGCTGCCACCTGCCTTGTTGACTGTGGAGCTCGCCATAGCATTGATGGAGTGGAGCAGCGATTGTCGAACACCAAGTTGCTCGATGCCAACTTCGTCTTGCAGTGTCTCCATGGTCAGCACCATCAAACTTCGTCCAGTGAGCGAAGCTTGGATGACCTGCAGTCGGGCCGCCGGCAGCCCTAGAGAACACATTAGTGCAAACCGACAAGCAAGCAGGAGCAAGAGCAGTGCCAAACATGGGTTCCGGCCTTTTTGAATAAACCCCACGGGAAATTGGCACGCAGCTTGGCCGTGACCCATACGGCCACTTGCGACGGAATAAAATTCTGAACCATCTCGCTCGTGGCTTCTTGACTCTTGTTGAGGACCTTACAGTCCCATGTACGTGTGTGGCCAGGAATGCCTAGGACACATGCGGCAGAGCGACCTGAGCAAAGGCTGCATCACGCAAAGCATTCGTCATGCATTGATCCGCGTCAAGCTGGGCCAGAGTCGACAGCATCTCACCTGCCAGCGCCGTCCCCGACACATCTGGCTGTTCCGTTCCCGCAGCTCCGAGGCCGTGGCCGACCATCGTGATCCGATCCTGCGCCGACGCAGCCGGTGGGATGGACACAACTTCGATGCACGGACAGCCTGGCCTCGTCCTTGCTTGGATTGTTCAGTTGGTCTTTGATCACGTCGATGGCCTCGGCTTTCTGAGTCTGAACCCCTCCGTGTCGCGTGAAAACTCCGCCAAAAGAAAGTCCCCCATAAGACAATGCGGGCGAGCATCTGCCTTCAAGAGGCCTGTGGCCTGCAGCTTGACCAGAGTCGACAGCATCTCACCTG